TTTTGCATTATAAATACACGCAGCTCTTGAGAATTCCTTAAGTATTTCACTAATAAAATTCTGCTAATGAAATTTTTAATAATATGCAATAAAATTGTACATATATAAATTTTAGTTTGTTTCTGGTTTTCAATCGAAAATCATGGCACCAAGCGGGAACTTGCTTTCAATAGATCGAAATACACATATAAACAAATCCAGTTTCATTAATCTAATGCATTTTTAAGACATCCATTAGGCCGAAATTGTTCTAATATACGGGCCGTATAAATTACTTAATGCTGGGCTGTGAAAAAAATAACGAACTCGTCAGCAAAAATATAACCCACAGTACGAAATTAAAGTACAATATATATATAGATATATATATATATATATGTATATGTATATATATCTATATAGAGTATACACACAAAGGGAATGACGAACGAAATGGCATATCATAAAAATGGTAGAAAATTGCTACGCCCAAAAATTAAAAGCGAAGACCGGGAAACGGGAAACGGAAAACCAAATATCAAATGCGGCCTGGCCTAATAGACAAGACAGGGCACACAGAATGAATACGATAAAATGTGAAGAGTATTTTGTTATACGAAATCATGAATAGATTTCGTAGCTGGTTGCCTCAGTTTGTGTGTCAGTAATGCGTCGTTAAACTGTAAAAGACCGTAAAAGCAGAGGCCAACGAAAAAATGAAACGAACCCATAAAAAATGAGTAGTCTTTGGTGTAGATGGAGCAGAAGCCCAAAACGCTTCGTTCGCCACAAATGAGTGAGAGAAGCGGGCAAGTCGGAGCTAGCAGCTAGCAGTGAGGCGAGTAAATCATTTTACAATGGCACCCGTAGGCCGGTTTCGTTTCTGGGGAGCTGTCAGCGCCTTTATGGCTTTCATGAAGGACAATCAAGTAATAGCCGACGATTTTACGATGACACAAAACTACATAATAAAAGATATATCAGCGCAAGCGTCTAACTCCAACTTTGACCAATATCAACAAGCGCTGAGCTCTATTCCACTTTCAGAGAAGCGGACAAACGAGAATATTGCAGTCGGGTACAATCGACTTGCTTATACTCGCCTATCGATGAAAACTTGAAATATAAATCTCGAATTCGACTATAAAAATTGATTCATCGTTTTCAATTTGGATAGTTTTGGTATACAAAATGAGTAGATATTTTTAAGTTAGTTATATATAGCACTATTATACTAGTTTATTATTAACTGAAGGCTTAAAGCCGAAAATAAATTGAATCAGTTGGAAAATAAAGATCTCTAGCTTCTACATCTTTAGATCTGATTATAGTAAGCAAATGAAAGTAGAAATCAAGCTGTCGGGTATAATCAACTATATAATATTTGTTTACTGTTTACCAATAAGGACTCCGTCAACAGAGTTTTGAGTAGAAGTTGTTTAATGGAACTGAAATATATATACATATTTGTTCCACTTCTATTGTATTAAATAGGCGCTATATCTCTATTAATACTTCTTTTCATATACAAAGTCGAGTCTCGATAATTTGTTCCCAGCTAAATCGAAAATCGTGATAAATCGAACAAAAATTCTATCCCCTTAAACAAAATTATTTTTCAATAATTCCCGATAATTTTAATTTCTGTGTAAATAAAAAAAAAAAAAAAAACTGATCCCCTTGCCACTTCGAATTATCGACACTCGATAGTATAATATCCAGTTTCTATGTGATAAATTAATCTCCAAGTGCAAATTTTTAGCTCCATGCCATTATATCTGGGCAAAGCCAACACACCCTTCTCTGCTTGTATTTCCAGGGTATTGACGCGAAAAACTTAATATACTTATGTACTAGCAGCTAAATCGTTAGCTTTGGCACGCCAATAGATGCGATGCATGTTGGCAATCACTCTTCGGCCTGTTGGGCTCATTTCTGACAATTTTCAATTTCTATACCCCTCACGCCTCGCCTGCTATATCGAAATGGATGCGTGACACGCAAACTAGTCGCCCGTTTTTAATACTCTTTCACCTTTATTCCGGCTGGCGCGCGATAGCGCGAAATTATTGTCACCTGAGTGGTCAACACCCCCGACCTACCTAGCTGCCCACCCACAACCTTACCACCTGCCCTCTCCCTCGCCCTCGCACTCGTCCACATCCTCGAGCGTCTCGCAGCACAATTTTGAAGTGGGGGTACATTAGTCTGGCACTTGCAACTTGCAACTGAGAGTAAAATATCTAATATAACTTATCCTTTGCCAGACTAGAGCTGCGTCTTCTCTTTCTTTTATCAAATGAACAAATAACAACAGAAATTGGTAGAAAACTTGAGCAAAACTTTAAATTGGTCATTGCACTTGCACAGTCTTTGCCACGCCCAAAGCATTGTAGACATTGTGGATTGTACTTTTGAGAATAAACTATTTATGTATGGTAAATTGCGCATATAATAAATATGAATATAGATTTTATATATATAAATTATATACTATATTTGAGTGCTTTTTTTAATATATATACAATATAATACATATTGCACACATTTGTTATTTATTGGCCCAGTATATTTTAAATATTTGTATAATCATTTTTAATTACATTTTAAATACTTTTTCATTTCTTTTTTATAACAGATATTTTATTTTATTTTATTTATTTATTTTTTTCTTATATTTTAATATAGTATTTTTTTTTAATATTTATAAAAGTAATTTATTCTTGTCTATAAATATTATTATGCTGTACATATTTCTATTATTTTTTAAACTTATTCAACAATAACTTTATATATATTCAGTTATTATTTGTATGAATTAATTTTTCATATGATAAATCCTTGCAAAATTTAGAATATATAGTAGTGAACTTTCAGGGTATCATTAAGTTTAACATGCCTATACACTAGTGTATATATATATATGAACATACATGCATACATATATATAAACATTTCTATATATATTTGGTATAAACAGACTTACGCGCAGAGGGCTTTAATGCTTTTGATTTCATTCCAGGATTTTTTCCGTCTCTTGATTGACAGTAATGGCATTTTTGCGACTCGTCGAGCGGAAAATGCTGAAAAGCTGCGCGCTGACACGACAACGCGAGTCAATAATAAAAATTGCATGTTGAAAGCACATTTGGGAATCCCAAAGTCACACACAAAGTCAGCGTCGCAGTTGCTGTTGACGTCGCTGCCGCAGTCGCAGCGCAGCGCAGTTGTAGTCGTCGTCGTCCTCGTCCTCGTCAACATCGCTGCGGAAGCAGCACAGTTGTCACCCCTTAGCCGGCAGAAATGCGTAAATGAAAACCCTTTTGGCCGCGTTTTCCAGTTAATTTATTTTTGGTTAATTTCCTTCGTTTGTTATTTTAGTGCCCGCCACTTGCTCTACCCACACGTACCCACTCCAATAAAAGCAAAAACAAAAACCATATCATACCATAGCCGAACATAATCCAACCCATGCCCCAGCATTTATTGCATTTTAGCAGGAACGCACTCAAGCAATTTATAAAGCGCAAAGGTTAATGGCAATACGTGAAGCACAGAGCAGGAAAACAAGCCGAAAGGAATACAGGATCTACGCTCTACAAATTAAAAGTATTATCTGGAGCTAAACGAAAAAAAAAAAACAACAACAAAATATGGAACTATAAAAAACTATATGAAAGTGTAAGAGACAAAACCTAATGATATATGATATATGATATGATATATATGATATGATGTAGAAATAAACTAAAGAGTACAGAAGTTATTAATAATCCTCTACAAATTATTTTTAAAATATGTTACATATTTATGTAAGTACACAGTTCATAGTTCTGTGAACATATTTAATAGATAAAAAAAATTTATCAATATTTTATTTTGTACTCACCTCATTTTATCTTATCGCAAAATTTGTAATACATGAGATATTATAAATTCTTTATTGTGTTATAATCAGTATTAGTCTGTTTTAACCTTATTCCTAAATCTTTAATTGTATTTTGTACCTTTTAAGTCTTTTAATAATCCAAGAAATTGTTCAACTATTTTATATTCTTTGAATATAATTTTAATATTCTTTGAATTTTATTTCAGACTAACAAAGGCAAAGCAACTTTACAAAGTAGATCGTATCCAGTTTCATAGCTTAAATACAAATTGATTAGATTGAATATAAACCACATATCAAAATTAGTTTCTGCTAGACAGAGGTTTTCTGCTTTTATAATATCTTGAGCTAATTTAGCATTCACAGTCAGGAATATATATAAATACTTGACAGGGTCTACCACGCCGAACCTTAACAGTTTTGCAATTTCTTAAATAGCTTCAGTTCTTATATTATTATTATCATAATTAAGTTTATTTCTATTCTCAAATATAGTCAACCCCATTTCTCCTATCAATAATATTTATAGCAGAAACAATCTGCAATTCATTTCAAAATCACTTGCAAGCCCTTTTTGAAATATAATTGGGTTATTTAATTTTCAAGCGTGGCCAGTTTGGCCATTTCCTTGTTTTTAATTTCATTTTTATGATTTTTTTTTAAACTTACACAAGACTCTTGAATGTAATAAAAAATAACGAAACATAAATATCATAAACAACTGTGCGCTATACTTAACATAGCTAGGGCGAGAGCAAACGAAAATAAAGATGGAAAACAATATATAAAATATATATCAGCAATAATTTGAAGCATCAAATTTTTATTGCCGCTGGCAATCATTTAATCATCTCGAGTCATCAGTCGCCCTACCTCCCCATCTATCTCTCTCACTCTCACTCGCTCGCTGAGCTGTTGGTGTGGGGTATATTTTGCAATTCGCTGGATGGGGCAGGCAGAAGTTACTCCCAGCGCAGCTTCAAGTTGGGCTCTGCCATGGCCAACTCTGGCTTTAGCAATGGGCCATCAGCCCATTTGACACATGTGTCACTTGCCAGCGTTTCGGTTTCACTGTATAGCTCTCTCATTCCCTCTCCCTCGCTCTCTCTCTCTCTGTCGCTCTCTCTCTCTCGCTCTTGGTTGTAGCCTTCGGTTGACAGCTGTCAGTGTCAGTTTACATAATTTATAGATTTCAGCGCATAAAAAAGTCATAAAATTTACAATGTTGCTTTCAACAAAAACACATTCAGCCTGCCTGCCTGCTGCCTGCTGCCTAGAGCCTGGTCCTGGCATACCCGATTCTTTTGATGCCTTATTTTTATGAGCGAAGACATCAATTTTCGCACAGCAACAGCAACTACAATCTATATACATATACATTTATACATATACACATACAAATACACATATGTATAGATTGTATATTTATCTGCGTATTTCTCTATTTCTTCAATACTTGTTTGTATTGCCAATGGCATTCGAAATGCTTTTGATTTATTTGTATTTATGTGATTCCTTTCTCATATTCAGCTTCAGCGATAAATCCTCGCACTCAACAAAATACATAAACGATTTATAGTTGAACAAACGGCACAAAATGCAACAATAGCCAAAAAAAAAAAAGAAGAAAAATACAGAAATACAAAAAATACAACAGCAAAAAAAGCAAGACAAGGGGCACAGTAGCTAACGGCCAGCGCCTCAGCTATAGGAACAAGTTTTCCTGCTGTTACCAAATCCCGGCGCAACATAAATCTTTAATGGAAAATCTTGGCAGCAGGCGAAAGACCATATGCAGCGAGGGCAGTCCAAACAGAAACTGATATACCAAAAAATAAACAAGCAACAAAGCTTTTAGTCTCTAGCTTTTGTGGCTTATAATAACGAATGGAATGAGAGACTCAGCTCGTTGCCCTGATCCAGAATATATAGCTTAAGAGGTTTGCCCAACTTATTCTGCTTTTTACTTACTTTTTAATAGAACCATTATAGCCTGATTTCACATTTTCAATGGATCTATGTACCCAATAAAGGAGAGGAAAGAAAAGTTGAACCCACAACTTACTTGACAATAATCATGGAAATTTAATAAAATGTTAATCCGAAAACTTAATGATAATTACAATAATATTAATAACATATAAAGTTAGACTCTATTTCCTAAGCCGTGCGAAATATAGTTTGATAGTTGAAAAGTTTTTCCTTTTTGTTTTCTCAAGAGAGGATAACTTTTCACAAGATATTAAGTCTTTGATTTTAAATATATCTAAATATAAGTCATCTCATCCCTGACCACTTCCACAATAATCTCCACCTTTCCTTTGATACTCTTCACCCCTCCATATACATACTTAAGAGAGCCGTTGCGAAATTCATAGTTCGCTCGTTCATAGTTCATAGATCATATTCCCATTTCTTATTCATTCTTTTATCTAGTCTATACTAGTCTATACTCACATCTTTTATAATATAGGTTTTCAAGTTTCCTACTGAAATGAACCAATTCTACTAGTAAAACTCTTAGTGAAAAACACAAGCTGAGCCAAGCAAGCGAGGCAATTCTAGTTAGAGATATGAAAATACAATTACATTTTATATTCAATCGTGGAGAACTAAACAATTTTCTCAGCTCATCTGATAGGCAAACAAAGTAACGGTTGAAATTTGATAAATAGCTTAAGAAGCAAGAAACGGAAGCTGAAGAAGACAAGAAGGAGTACAGCTGGACTAATTATAGCAGAGATAGACTAATTGACGTAAAAAACTGAGATATGAGTGAATCATCGAATACGGAAGAAAAGCCGGCATATGCATTATTCTTTGGCGGAATGGGCGCTGCCTCGGCCATCATATTCTCGGCACTGGGCGCCGCCTATGGCACAGCGAAGTCCGGCACTGGCATTGCCGCAATGGCCGTAATGCGGCCGGAGTTAATTATGAAGTCCATCATACCGGTGGTCATGGCTGGCATTATAGCCATCTATGGCTTGGTCATCTCGGTGCTGATTGCCGGCTCGCTGTCGAACGACTACACCATACGCAAGGGCTACATTCACCTGGCCGCTGGACTCTCAGTGGGTTTTTCCGGCCTGGCGGCGGGCTTTGCCATTGGCATTGTGGGTGATGCCGGTGTGCGTGGCACAGCGCAGCAGCCACGCCTCTTTGTGGGCATGATACTCATTCTGATCTTTGCCGAGGTCCTGGGCCTGTACGGCATGATTGTGGGCATCTACTTGTATACCAAATAAAAAATGAAAATGCATTAAAAATATTTGCGGTGGCAGCAACTTAAAGTGTTTCGAGAATTTCATTTGGCTGATGACAGCGACACAGCAGTTGGCCCCTGATTCCCAGGCGTTGCGAATCTGTGTGGCACCTTGTGACAACTTAACAATCACATCTGCTTGCAGAAGAAACGTACCCCAAAGTCCCAGTCATAAAAACCCGCAAGCCCCCCGTGGAAACTGAAACGCTTTACTAAAAAACATTCAAAATGCAAAACATTCCATGGCACACAAATAAAAATGTCATGAAGCTTCTATATCAGGCCATGGGTATGCAGGGATTGAAGAGTTTGTTGTTGTCGTTGCTACACACACACATACACACTCACACACATACACGGACACAGTGAGGCTGCTCCCAGTGGTGCCAGAAACAAATTTCCATTTTGTTTTGTGCGAAGAAAATTGTCGCATTTTAAGCTCACGCCCAGAGCTCCGACCGAAGGAAGAGAAAGCACCGAAGACCCTCCCCTCGACAGGGGTTCATACTATATTCCAATTTGTTTAATTGAAACAAGTGCGGAAAGCAAGCAAATGCTGAAAGCATTCAAAGTATGCACAAAAAAGAACAGCAGGAGCAGCAGCAACAGCCAACAAAAAAAAAAAAAAAAAAAGTGGGAAAAACCGCAGCTTCGATATTCAATAGTCAGAATTTGCTTTTGCGGTTTGCTTACTCGCCGGATAGACTAGCTAGGGTAGACCAAACCGCTAACACGAATTTCGCCATAAATTTTCACATTTTCTCTCTATGCCATGGGTAGCCGGAAAATTTAACGGCACATAAAGATAAACCTCGTTAGCAGCAACAAAACACGCCGAGCGAACGAAAAAAAAAAATTGCATATTATATAATAGACATACATTTAACGCTTTGTGTTATCAACCAACTTGGGCATATCAGCACGCGCATAAATATTCGAATTATCATGCAAAAATTTTGAAAAACCAAATCACGGAAAAAGGTTAGCTAGGATAGCCGAATATTGGATACACTTATGAGCATATAACGTGGAAAATTCTTTTATAAGAAATATGTATTGATGTCAGAATGCTATAGTACGATAGTATGATAGTATGATAGTATGATAGTGTGATAGTATGATAGTATGATAGTATGATAGTATGATAGTATGATAGTATGATAGTGTGATAGTATGATAGTATGATAGTATGATAGTATGATAGTATGATAGTATGATAGTATGATAGTATGATAGTATGATAGTATGATAGTATGATAGAATGATAGTATGATAGTATGATAGTATGATAGTATGATAGTATGATAGTATGATAGTATGATAGTATGATAGTATGATAGTATGATTGTATAATAGTATGATAGTATGATAGTATTCTAGTATAACAATATGACTATGTGATAGAATGTCACTTCGCTCCAAGTCTCAAGAAAAAAGAGAAAAATGTGATATATGAATTGAATGTTCTATCAATCTCTCTCTGCCTTTCTCTCTCTCTCAACCCATAATAGGCTTATCGAAATTCATCATAACTAAACTAGTTTCAATCCAGTCATCTGTTAATTCATTTCCTATATCCTAATCAAATTCAGAAAAGGAAACATCTTGCAGCGATCCAATCGAAGCAATCGAAGAGCTAACAGCAGAAGGAACATGTCCGCCGAGGCTGACAACGACAGACCAAGCTATGCAATTTTTATTGGGGCTTTGGGATCTGCAACGGCCATTACTTTCTCAGCTCTGGGCGCTTCATATGGCACAGCTATGTCAGGTAGAGGCATTGCCGAAATGGCCCTGATCAAGCCGGAGCTTATTATGAAGGCCATCATACCGGTGGTCATGGCTGGCATTATAGCCATCTATGGCTTGGTTGTGGCTGTCCTCATAGCCGGTTCGATAGGTGATTCATACTCCATAAAAAAGGCGCAAGCCCAACTGGGCGCTGGACTCTGTGTCGGATTTTCTGGTCTCTCCGCGGGCATGGCCATTGGCATTGTTGGGAATACCTGTGCACGTGCATCAGCCAGGCAGCCACGCCTATTTGTGGCCATGGTGCTCATCCTGATCTTTGCCGAAGTTCTAGGTCTATACGGTTTAATTGTGGCCATTTTTCTATATACCAAGTTCTAAGTCTTTGACAATAAATAAAATAAAATAAATAAAATTACATATGATTTCCCTTTCCATAGAATTTATGTTTTATATATCAATACAGTTCTATTTATTTCCAATTTAAGACTATATAATTTTGTAATGAATATTCTATTTCAACTGGGTTTATTTAATGTACTTTTTCATATGTTCCATTCCAAATTAATTTTATTAGCTATTTTATTAGCAATTTTATTTGTATAATAATTAAAATAAATAAATATAAAAATAATTGGAAAATAAAATCTAATTAGTTGAATGATTTCCACGTTTACACACATGTATTACACAAACATACATATTCCATTCCCATTTCGTTCCCCCAACATTCAGCATCATATTAACATTTCATTCCCTTTTCCTATACACTGACTGCCTCAGCATAAATAAATACCCAATTTTTATGCTCGACTCCACAGCGTTTCACCTGGAAATGGGAAATTAATTTATATTTTAGGCATTTGGCATTGCCTTTGGCAATTATGTGGCCTATGTGATAATGGCCAACTGTATGCAGCAGATGAAAGCATTTTGTCATCATTTCCCTTGATAAATGAGCCAGAAGCCATAAACATCATCAATGCGAATGGCCATAATCGCACTTAATGCTAAACAGAGTACGCCACAAACCTACCTGGTGCTGTGCCATGCCCTCAAATTGCTTGTTTATACAATCCCTCAAAATGATGCCTGTCAGCCGGCTCAAGGATCTGAGCTGGAGCCCAATGCAGCTGGTCTCCCAGGCGGGTGACGAGAGGCGAGAGGCGAGAGACGAGAGGTTCAAGGTTAAGGGTGGCTGGGCTCTTGGAGCATATGCGAAGGCTGGCGCGTGTGTCATTTTTTGGCAACTCAACACCAATTGGCATTAGCGTTGAGTGTGTTTGCATAATAAATTCGATAACATAAAATATCGATTCGATTTAACCGCAGCGCCTCCTGTGGGGCGGCCACACCCATCGAGTGTAATAAAACGAAATTTGCAATTTACTTTTGGATTCGAGGATTTATGTTTCACCTTCCTGCAGATAATTGTTTTCACTTCCTTTGCCACTCGACTGAACTTTTAATGCTGAAATAACAGTAAAAACGGCAAATGCGTGCGGCTAAGACATAGAACTGGTGGTGGGTGGTATAGGAGCAGAGGGGTGCCAAATGGATGAGAAAGAGTAGGAGGAGGAGGAGAAGCTACTTCTACGGAATCCTGCGTTTTGTATTGTGAGCGGTGCGACGTTAAGCACAAACGGAAACAGTTGAATATCGAAAATGTACGCCACACTCAGCAGGCAATCCTGAACCACCCACTACATCCCTCCCCCTCCGTCCATCGACCACTTTCTCTGCCAGGCTGACAAAGTGCTTAGCGAAATGGGTTTATTAAGAGCAAACACTTTATTCAAATGTTGAGTAACATAAATAAATATGTATTAACTGGCATTACTTAACTCCTCCTGCCCCCTCTCAGCGGGTGACTAAAGAGCAAAAGTTAACTCTAAGCAATTTCTATAATTGATAAGAAATAAAATACTTCATCGATTGAGATTTATTATGCCAAAGGAATTTATGTGGACAGAAATGCCTGCCCTATATTATAATTACAAAATTATTCTTATTTTTGTTTCCTTATATGCAATTAAATAAAAAAAATTATCGTTTAATATCAATAATTACTTAATTTCTTCTACGTTTCTCAATGGGAGATATAAGATACATTTTTTATTTCCCCAAGCCAAATGGGAATGATTCATATTTAGCTGTGCCATTACTATAATTGATAGGTAA